GGAGGGGGGGCTGCGAGGGGGGATGGGCGGAGGGGGGGCAGAGGGGGGGCGCAGGGGGGGGTGCGGGGGGGCAGTCGGGATGTCGCCATGATCCCCCGTGGGTCGTGCTGGGCACGGCTCCGAGTGAATGGGCGAGGAGGGGAGCATTCAGACAGCGAGCGCTTCCGTTTTCTTTCGCGTCTTCAGCTTCTTGACGGGCGAGCGCTCGATCCCGTGGGCCCCGTCTCCCCCGGTCGCTTTCTTGCAGGAAGCGTGGCCGAGGCCGCACGATGGGAACCCGCCGATGTAGCGCAGGAACCACGTCCTGCAACGCAGAGGAGTGTTCGTTGTGTTTTTTTTTTATGTTTTCAAATAATTTTTGCCATCAATGACAATTTTGTGGAATTTGAGTCGGGTCTCAATTTGTTCGTTTGAATTCATTAATTCTCTTCGTCTCGTCGACTAAAGCGGTCACACGTTCAGGCCTCTTCGGGTCAATAAATGTTGATATGAGTGGCTCAAAACAAAAGCTTGTTTTTATTTTACCAGGTAAGGCCCAATGAGCTATACAGCTATTTTTAAGAAGCGACCAGGCCACAAATGATAGCACAACGACGTTAGCTTAAGTTTATAGCAGACAAATACTCTAACCCCATGTTGATTTTCAATATGGAAGGAAAACCGGAGGACCTGGAGAAATATACACACGGCCACGGAGAGAGAGAGACATGCAAACTTCAAAAATATAGACGTCGTCAGGGTCAGGATCGAACCCACACCGTCCTGTATACCAGGCGAGGTAGTTAACATCACGCCAAATTAGCGCCCCATCCCTCCCAAATATGGTGAGGTCTACCAACCATGAGCTCGACATATTTATATCTAGGGTGCTTAAAAATGTTCACACTTATTTGGGATTATCGTATTTTAATGGAAAAAGAACGGATAATACACTGTAACATGATAACAAATGTAATGTTAATAGCTTCAAAAAGTCAAAAAGTCTCCACTTGTTCGCCATCATTGTCAACACATTGCCTGGAATCTTCTCCAGGTGGTCTCCAGAGACCGGAGGCACATTTCTCGTGGTATTGTTGCAAATTCTCAGAAAGGTTAAAAACATGTTTAAGCACCCCATTTTGTACACAACACACATTGCCAATGACTAGGTGTGGTCTTCCACACTGCGCTGCAGTCTCAATGAACGTCAGTGAATGATTTCTAGTCTTGTCAAGAGTCTTGCTGTGGTGTTTGACGAGTCGTCTCAGTCGTTGTCATATTTGATGATTTTCTACCACTCGTTGTCACCATTGACGACGAGTGGTCGAAAAAAAAACTAATGTTGGTCATGCTGGACATCTGTGAAAAAGAGCTTTGACAGATTCCTCCAGTACCGTGCCGGCCTTCACAGGAGCTCGCTGACAGCACTTGCCCCGACAGTCTGTTAAGGCTACACGGGGAATATTTGTCTTTGGTTGTGAACGACGATTCTGAATACGAATGATCTGATATGTGGAACTTCTTTCGCACCGTACGTGGCCAACCGTGCCAATCGGAGGTGGTAACTTTGACTTAAGACTTTCGTGACTGCAGGAATTCATATTCTTGGTTCTTTCGGTAAAGTCGCGTAGATAGAAAATAAAATTACAAATAAATTTAAAATAAAAGCAAAAAACCCACGACGTCTCGATCGCAACATCGAAAGGTCGTGGGTTGTTTGCTTTCATTTTCAATTTATTTATAATTCTATTTAATTTTATTTTCTATCTACGCGACTTTACCGAAATAACCAATAATTGGTGGTAACTTTGTTGCAGCGGATGGGCATGGGAAGGGGGGTGGGGGCCGGGTTTGCTGTTCACCTCGCGAGCGTGGGGGGCCCGTCGGAGGCCACGCAGCGCTGGGGCGAGGAGGGGGAATCGGGGGGCGACGGTCCCTGGGGGTCCCCGGGTCCGGCCTCCGAGGGGGTCCGGGAGCGCGGGGAGCGCGGGGAGAGGCCGCGTGGCCGCGCGGCGCAGGGGAGGTGAGCCGGCTGCAGGCAGCTGGAGGACGGCTTCACCACCTCGCAGCCCCGTGGCCGCCGTGCCTGGCAGCTCAGAGCCTGTGAAGCGACAGGCGATGCGTACGTCGCAAGGACAAAGAGATCCCCAATAGCCTCTTATCGCCTCTGAGCAGATTGTCGGGGCAAGTGCTGTTAGCGAGCACCTGTTAAAAGGGTGGGACGGACACACGAGGGGGTGGGTGGCCAGCACCACGCCAGGCCGTCTTCGTTCCCCTCGTGGCGATGTCTACACGCCGCAACCATTTCGTCATTTGAGGCTGAGTCGACCTAGGGGAAGCCCAGGACCGGCGTTGGCCGTGAGCGGGGATCGTAGCGCAGCGCGCTAACCGCTGCGCCACCGCTCCCCACACACGACACGCAGTGGCACTCACACCCACGTGGACACGTTCATCCCCACGGCGAAAACGCGTCGTGGTGCCGCGTTCACAACACAGTGACACACAGTGACACTTGCACATCCACACGCAACGGGACATCACGTGACACTTTCACACCCCTGCCCTGTCTGTCGATTTCAAATCTTTAAAAATGTAATAGATGTACACATTCGTTGCTATGTATTTTACATGTATATGTAATTTATTGCAAACGGTTTTAGCAATACGCGCCCGCCACAAACCCCGGTGTGAATCTCCCTCCCCATGCAACTTCGTGTGGCCTCCCGTCTCATTTTGCTGTCAAGTCTATCTTCAAAACCTTCCTGAAACTAAAACATTTATTTTACCAGTTAAGGCCCACTGAGCTATATAGCTCTTTTTCAGAAGCGACCTGGACACAAATGACAGCTCAACGAAGTGGCTTATCACGTGGAAATGCATAGCAGCCAAATTCTCGAAAGGCGTGATGTTGATTCCAAACGCGGAGGGAAAAACCGGAGGACCCGGAAAAAAATCCACGCGAGGGAGAACAAGCAAACTCCAAATACACAGCAGCAGGTGTCGGTGGTCGGGATCGAACCCACGACCTCCTGTATACCAGTCTAGATAGTTAACATCTCGTCACCACTCCTCTTCAAGCCCGTGCCTCCGGGCGCTCTAAGTCACTTCAATTCTCCCCTGCCCTGATGCTGGACAGCTGTTTAAATAGAGCTTCATAGCTCATCGGATTCCTCCAGTCTCAAGAAAGATTCTGATCGTCCCTCCCGCACTTCATGTACAACTCTGCACTCTCAGACGAGTGTGTTCTAATGCTTCAGATGTGGCATTATTATTATTATGAACCGATATATATTTATCATTAACATGATCTCGCAACATTGGTGGATGAAGGACTCCCCCTTAGTCGCCGCTATCTTTCACGGTCCTGCATTGCAACAATCAATTTGACTCGTGCACGCGAGCGAGATTAAAGTCTCTGCAGTAACTTACTCAAGTTCATAATCGCGAACAGGCTTCTTCAACAAGCGCCGTGTTAACACCGGTGGGCGTGATCGTGTGTTTGCATGCATTTCCTGAATAGAATGCACCAACGCAAAGTCACAAACTATCAAACATTCATATTCTTGGTAAACAATCCACGCACAATCCAGAGTCCTTTGTTCTGCATCCACCATACCCTCCCACGACCCAGGGAGACCCACTCGCACAAACACAAAACAAACATTGAACTTTCAATCACCTGCCACAGCGTTCCAATGCAACAAGTGATAATGCGAAACAAATTGCACGTCACTCGACAGAACGATCATTCACTTGTCGCCATCGCAAAGCACCCGACGGCGTGGTTACTCACTGGAATTAGGGTTGCCATGGCCAGGGAAAATCCGAGCAGCAGTGGGTCTCTCAACTCGCTCGCCCGACGCACGTGGTACGAGTGGGCGAAAGCAAAGGTTGGATGTACTTATTTAGAGTGGCCAGCACGCACGGACGCACGGACGGATGGACGCGTGCGTGCGTGCGCACGGGTGCAGCGGTGGTCGCACGTTCCCCGATAGGACCTTGCGGTGGCGTCCCGGGCCGACCTTGCCCAGAGCCACTCTGCCCCGCTGTGGAAAATCCATGGGGGGCTCTCAGTTAAACATAGCCCGTAGGGAGGAGTCGGGTTGCTGAACGAGCACACACACACACACGCACGCGCGCAAAAAAAACTAAAGAAAATAACCTTCCTATGTGTTTTCGGGTTGTACCCCGCGTGTTGTGTCGGCGCGATTTCCGACTTTTGACTCGACTCGCTTGAAAGATTCTTCATGGAGCTGAATTTGAGCGCGTGGGAGCGAAATGTCAGACATCAACGCCGAACAGCACTCGGCAGACCCCGCAGACACGTCAGGGGAGCCCTGAAGCACATCCCGCGACAACCCATGCAGTACTATCAAAGCAAGTGGAAATTCAAGTCATCAAGCAAACTCCGCAGAGGGTGAGAATCACAGACTGGCAACCCTGATGTTCTGCGAGGGCCTTGCTATCCTCAAAGGGCTAGTTGTGGATATGTCAAGGCAAAAGCAGAGAAACGTCAACCTGAATCAGATAAAATCAGGACATTGACTTTTAACTAAATTCAGTAATGCGAGTCACATACGCAGACACAGAGGCGTGCAAAACTGAAATATTATAGCAAATCATATCCAGTTAATGATACAAATACTGCTTGCTGAACTAGTTAAATGCATAATTTCTATGAAAACAATCGAGTGATCAATCGGTGACGAAATCTGTTCTTTTGCAATATAATACAATTATGAGATTCCATATATGTTTAATATTCTATTAAATACTGTTATTCTAATTAAAATATTACTGGTTATATTTTCTAAAACTTGGGGGAAAATACATTCAAAACACAGGAGAACAGAAAGCTTTTATTTGTATTTTCACAACTTTATATTACTGCAAACAGTATCACTGCAGAACCAAAGGGAAGGAAATGCATGTCAATGCAAGTGCTGCTTGGCACAGCTTATAAAATAAGGAGGAACGGACACATTAACTGCAGGCATAATGAGAGATTACTACACGCATAATGAGAGATTACTGCAGGTATAATGAATACAAAACTGTGTAAAGTGTTTTAAATGCACGATTGCTTGGCAAAAAACACATGCATATTATTTCACAATCAAACATTTGAGTACAGTTGTGCAATTATGTCAAGACACTAGCGATGCAATTGAGTAAATTCTAACAAAACATGGTATTGCGAATGCATAAATAATGGAAAACCCGCTCATCAAAAAGTAACAGCAAGCACACACACCTGACATCACAGTTGTGGTGGCCTTGGTGGGCGTGACTCAACCACACTGATCAGTCAAGGCCCTACATTTCGTGCATGGCATCATTACCCATGGGCGCCAAACTCTCCAGGTGTACGTCACCTCGCGCTCACATCACACCAAATCTCATCGAAGCTCCATCGTGTCAAGGTCGGGAGGCCACCGTGGCCAATGCTTTTGAGACCTTGACACACCTCACCGCCCCATCGCTTCCTTGCTGCTAGATCCGGCAGTGGTCGCATCGTCAGCACCTGACCTCCAAAGTGCGATTGCACAGGACTCAACATTGCCTCGAAATCTTCCACTCAGGTTCGTGATCTACGGTTGCCGGCTTCAGCGCCTGTCTTGGGTCACCACGCAGCTGCGTGAAATGGGCAATCAAGCAATCACGCGATCAGTAATTTGCATCGCTGGCCTCCTTCGCAACGGGAAGGAGGCATTGAAATTAAACGCGGGTAAAGCGCAACGGAGAATCATTGGCAGTAGAATCGGAAAAGGCTCCTACAAAAGTCTTGCCAAAACCGGTGCAGTTCATGCATCTCCCAATCAAGTGAGTGCAGAGAGGCTTAGCTTGTTAGCTTGTTCTTATGAAGCTAAGCAGGCTTTGTAAAGTCCAGACAGAGTGCCCAGCCTTACCAAGTCAAGAAGATCCTTACCAAAGGCAAGCAAAAGCTCAGTAAGAAATCGGGCGCTGGAAATGCAAGCGTTAAGATTCTTCGGCCAAAAAGGACGGTGATTGGAGGGGACACCCTTTGGGGCCACGGGCTGTGGCCTCTACGGTTTGCGGCCACTCTTGTTCAGCTGGAAACCTTTCCGAATGTCTGAAAGCAGCAGGTCCACGATGCACAGGGACTCCTTCTCCTCTGCAACCACACACACACGCGACATGTGCCATTTCACACGATCAGCAGCCGAATAGACAACTTTCATTATAGAATTAAGTGAAACCAACTGTTGGGTCGCGAAGCTCTAACAATACCTTAATGATCATTAAAACACACACAACTGTGTAGGATTTCACCATTGTAACTGCATAACTCTCCGATGTGTTTTCGGGAAGTACCGCTGTTTGGCGTGATGTCTGATGTTTTGCTCCACGAACTGGGAGCTTCTTCAGAAATCCAGCTCCAAAAAAAACACATCAGGGGGATAACCAACGGTTCCATGTACAAATAGTAAACTAAATATTTAAAATCCACCAATTGTGTTTTCATTGCAGCGTTTGGTTGTGGTCAATTAATCCGCAATGTGCTTTTCGCATGTAGATTCGACAATTATTTTTCCAGCCACTGACACGGTACAAATCAAAGCCCGACTTGGTACAAATGAAAAAAACAAGTACAAATCCCACCACAGGTCAATTTGGAGTCATGTGAAAATCAGAACCAAACTACTGGGGTTTGTGCTGTGTCCCAATAAGAAGACATCACAGTTGATACATTTGAATGCTTACAAGAAACTAATCAGACCCGACACAGGAATTACTTCCTGGCTTCGGCCTACATAGAAGGCTCCACTTCATCGTGTATGAACAACGCACGGCATATCACGGGACCCGTATTGCCAGGACCAAAGTATGAAAAATAATCATTGGTTTCACCCTTTCTGGAAATAAAACAGTTTTTTATGATGTTCAAATACCAAATAGACACCTTTTGCAAGGAATCAAGTCTACATTAACAACACGTACTTGTGGTGAACATGGAAACAAACATGCTTTGATAATATGCATTGTCCTTGAAGCTAATTTACTTTGATACTGCCAAAAAGACCCCATGATATAGCTGCTCACCCCGAGCTATAAATGTTCTGATAGTGCATTGTCTTTGTACTGTCCGCCCTTTGGTGTTCTCTCGTCTGACACTGGTGAGGCCGTCTCCCCCCCCCAAGAAATGCATTGTGGATGATGTCGGTCGCGAAAGCCTACGTGTTGAACAAAAACCTATTCTTATTTCTCAATGCCCGGCATGTGCGAACACTTCCTTCACAAATGGAACATTGAAAGAGTCGCCCCCCCTCTCTATTTGTGACCATTGTGAAGTGCGATCCGTTCATCACCGAGCGTCGTCCATGCATCATATCACGCTCAGGAAGGAGCACCGACGCCAAACATCAAGCGACTCCCGATGCCGTCGAATGGATTACCGGGACTCACACGGCCAGAATGTTTTCAAATGCCACGTGAAAGAAAATATTTCAATGCGAATCGTGATAAACCTGAAACATCCTAAACGGTCTCCAAAAACGTTCATTATTGTAATTGGCCGAACATCCCAATGCAGAAGCCTCCTATGAAAAAATCTTGAAATCCGGTGAGGCTTTATTGGACACAAAGAATGGCATTGTCTTTTGTCATAATAATTCTTATTGTCAGCACCCTGGTACGACGTGCCTAATGAGTGGTTTGGGGGAAACAGATTGGCGCTCCGTCCCACTTTCTCTACCTGCTTTCCCATCTTTCGGCAACGGCTTCGCGATCTTGCCGCTCGGCATGTTGCGCCGTTTCTCAGCGCGAGCCTCCTGTTCCGCCCGCGCTTTGTTTTCCTGAAAACAGAGAAATAGATGAACCCCGTTAGACCACCAAGAGACGTCAGGACAAAGTGACGTTAGGGGGCGAATATTCACCCAGCCCACCTCCGTCTCTCTCCCGTGCTGAAAATGACACATCGCACCAAGACAAATTTTAGGCTGAGTTGACCGAGAAGAAGACCAGATTAAACTGTACACCTCGTCCTGGATTTGCACTCAGGTCATGGGACCCGCAATTCAATGAAATGACTTGTGAAACACAAAAATGAAAAGATCCCTCTTATAGCCGAAACAGACTTTTGTGGCAAGTGCTGTTAGTGACCACCGGTGAAGGGGGGTGGGGGGTGGCCAGCATCACGCCCGACCGCCTCCGTCGCTGTAGTGACGAATGTTCACACCCACGTTCACACACAAGCCACAGCCAGAGCAGAGGTCGCAACCGGGTACCCGATACCCGGCTATCCGTACCCAACCGGGTACGGGTACCCGTTTGCGACCCTGGTGCGGCCGGGTACGGGTAGGCCGTAAGTCACTGGTGAGTCACCGTTTGTCACTCATTTCCCAACGTCTTGTCTCTTCTCACAATTCAAGTTCCTAGAATCAACCCACCCGCGCCTGCAACATGGCTTCATCCCAGAGGTCGCAATCAGGTACCCGATACCCGTACCCTACCCGTACCCGGCCGGGTACGGGTACGGGTACCCGTTTGCGACCCTGGTGTGGCTGGGTACGGGTAAGGAATAAAAACCCGTTTGCGACCTCTGAGTCAGAGTAATGCAGCGCGTTGAGATGTGGCTGCCTTTTTAGATGCTTTACACGCAATTAAGTACAGATTTTCTTCAAGGACATGAATCAGAAAACATGGACACCAACGAATAGCGTTTGCTAAAAGCTGAAACTCAGTTTTAAGAGGTGCATGCTTGGAATTACACTGAGCAAGAGACGCAAATGGGCTTGGGAACATCACTGGAGGGATGATACTCTTAGTTTTTTCGGTAAAGTCACGTAATAAAATAAAATAATAAAAACCACGACGTTTCGGAGGCAACACAAGTCTCCGTCATCAGGTGGGACCGTCACAGCCAGATTTGCTGATACACCTGATGACGGAGACTTGTGTTGCCTCCGAAACGTCGTGATTTTTATTATTTTATTTTATTAATTTTAATTAAATTTTTTTACCTACGTGACTTTACCGAAAGAACTAAGAGTATGAATCCTTGCAGTCACGAAAGCTTCAAATCTAGAATGGAGGGATGATGTCCGTGGATCGAGAATGCAATTTGAGTGGCAGCCAGGGAATGGAACGCATCCAAGAGGGCGTCCGCCAATGAGATGGAGTGACGAGATCAGTTCACGTGCAGGTGCCGGATGGATCGGTTAATGTCATGATCGTGAAAGCTGGTGGCGGCAGCTTGGGGTCAGGGGGGAGGGGGGCGGGCAATTCATCCAGCAGCGGATTGATCACGGCTGATGATGACGATGACGAAGATGACGCACAGCAGCAGCAGGAGCCGCTTGCTGCCGGTGCCGTGACGCCGCCAACCTTCTGTGCGGAGAGGAACTCGTCGCGGAAGGTGCTCACGGAGCGCAGGCACTCGGGCAGCTGGAAGCGCCGCGCGTCCTCGCCCACGTACGCCGCCAGCACGCTCGCGCGCGCCTCCACGAGCGCCAGCAGGGCCTGCAGCTCCGCCGAGCGCTCCCGGAAGCCCTGCAGGTCCCCGCGGGCGTGGGGGGGGGGGGGAGACATGCGGGGGAGGGGGGGGTGCGAGTGCAAAAGCCGTCAGAGGTGACACGCAACAACGGAAGACGCGCAAGGCTCACGATGCACGATCGTAACAGCGTTCAAGTTTGTTGTTATCATGATGACGTTTCCCCGGTAAAAGGCTCGCCGATTTTCAAGACTCTCTTGTTAGGAGGGTAATGCGAGTTGTCGCAGCAAGGGCCGATGCGGCCACGTGTTATCTCGAGTGAGTCATTTGCAGGTGATGTGTTGGTACTGTGATCTTTGGCCAATGCCAGTTACACACGGGTTTGTGTTGATCGCTGTGGGAGGAAAGCAGAGCAACCGGAGGATATCCATGCACGGCAGGGGAAGAATACGCACATGTCGCACACAAATCAGGAATAAAACTCGGGCTCTTCTTGCTGCGAGGCATCTCTGTGCTCACTGTGGCACCTTTACACCCTCGTGCAGGTGTATGATTTTTAAAAAAAGGTGAATGTGATGAGGTTGGCACAGGTGATGATGTTGATGTACATACATATAATTTGTTTTAGATCATATGACAGCCTTCTGAGACCAGAAGTTTATTCTTTCAGGGAGGCCTGGTCTCCCTTGAAGTAGAGATGTGGATAATGAAGCTGATGATGAAAATAATTAATATTAGTTTTAATAATCATGGATGACAGATGGTAAACACCTGTCATCCATGATTATCATACTTTATTTGTTTATTTAATTCACCAAGCTATACTCTTTTTTAAGTGTTCTTATTATTTCCATCTTACAGTTGGTATTGTAAATATATATATACACAGTTTCAGAAATGTTTTTTCATATTTTATTGCAATTACTTTTTTTTGGTGTTGATATCTTTTGGTTCTTCTGTGGTTGTAGAAATCCTTGCTCTGACCATTCGTATTTTAATGACTTCCTTCATTCAAGTTCAAGCTCTCAGGCCTTTTCCTCATCTGCCTACGATTGTTTCTTGTCAATGAAATAATTAAATATTTCCAAATCACAGCTTGACATATCATTGTCTCCCTCGCTTCACCCTGCAACCTCCTACCACGGGCACCCTCACTTCTCCCTCTGGGAAAAAAATAAATCCTCCTCACCCCCCACCCCCCCGGTCTCCTTAAATTGCACATTGCCCTATTTTGTACAGCACCTGAGGACGAAACTGCACTTAGATGCTCTGCGAATGTCAAGCGTTTGTATGTAACGCATGTCACCAGCTAATGGATTACCATGATTCAAGACCACATTTGTTTTTTTTTAAACCTTGTCTTTGCAAATAATGCAGAATCGATCGAGGCTGCAGGGTTTGCAGGAACGTGTCCGGCATCCGCAAACAAAACTGCGTGCAATATATATGATATTTACAGTATATATTATTCATACGACTGTGTGGGATTTTTTTTTTCTTTCCGCAGATGCGCTGTACGTCTCTCCCGTGTGTTCTCGTGTCGTACCACGTGTTGTTTCGGCACTGCGTCAAACATTTATCTCCATCGTGCCGTGCCGTGAGCTTCCTCAAGAGTTGAATTCAGCTCCCTTCGGAGGTGAATTGAACAGAGAGAAACCGAGCGTCTCCATCCAGTATCACTGTCTGGAATTCGACGAACGCCAATGGTCCCCCCTCCGCCTTCTGACGGCACTCAAAGAGGGCGGAACTTGCAGATGTGTTTTCGAGTTGTAACGAGTGTTGTTTGACGGGACGTCCGACGTTTCGCTCCTACCAGCTGGGAGCTTCTTCAGGACCTAAGGAAGCTTCGGTTCAGCTCCTGAAGAGACTCGCAGCACGTCAAGAAAGACGTCGGACATTGCTCCAACCAACACGAGGTACAACCTGAAAACACATCGGGGGAGCTGCATATGGTTCATACATGCATGATTCAATGCATTGAGTATGAGCGCAAACATGAATTTTATGATGAGAATTATTTAGTGCTTTTGGTATTCGCGCCATTATTATAGCACAGGGATATCACGAAGGTGCTTTTTTCACAGATGTGGTCTGCCGGTAGGGAGCAATGTTGCTATGTGTCATCCCAAATGAGTATTTTGCAGGTACGTAAAACATTTAGATCATGACACCGGCACAAAATGGCCTGCTTATTTGTTTTCATAATGTCTGGGGATCTTTAAAATCCACTCTATTACCAGCAGTAATAACCAGGGTGGCCTGCCGAATTACAACCGCAAAACCTCTGCAACAAGTGGTGAACGTGCTACGGCTGAGCCGCGTCACCACCCCCCAACTTTAACCAATGGCTCATTGGACATCGATGACGGATGCCACAGGAGATGATGAGGATGGCGATGGTGATGGCGGCAGCGCGCTGTACCAACCTGGATACTCGGGGCGTACATCTGGCTAATCTCGTCCACAGACGCGATGGTCTGTGCCAGGGTTTCCAGTCGCGACTTGAGAATCCCAGACTCCGCCACCAACAGCTCCATGTTCACGCTAGAAAGGTGGCCAACAGCGACATCAAACATCCCCCCCCCTGTTTGCGTAAACATCCAAGCTATTTACACTATGAGACATCTCCTTTACCAGTGGCAAAATATAGTAGTAGGTTTTTACCATTTCAACTGGTACAAAAACTGACACCTTTATACAAGGCATCATGTTTGCAATAACCACGATACAAGCAGTCAAAATGCAAACAAAAAGAAACAACTCTGATAATGATATGCACTGTCCTTGAAGTTAATTGGTCCACACCCGAGACAGCTTTTCTTAGAGCCTAGTCTCCATTGGTGTTGGACCAGATGACACCAAAAGGCGTACAACTCAAAAACAATCAACTTCAAGGACAGTGCATATCATTATCAATATCAGAGTTGTTTCTTTTTGTTTGCATTTTGACTGCTTGTGTTGTGGTTATTGCAAACATGATGCCTTGTATAAAGGTGTCAGTTTTTGTACCAGTTGAAAGGGTAAAAACCTATTACTATCGCAGCTATGGTTCTGTAGAATAAGTCTTCAAAACTCAGTAAAGGCGTTCCCCCCTCCTGTGTTATCATTTTTGTAATAATTGTTATACACGTCTAAAGTGTCTTTGTGCATCTCTGTTGCCAGTCCGCTGCTGAATGAGAGCAGGACCTCCCCCCTCACTGTGCGGAGTATTTGTCCGTACTTCCCCACGCTGCTGCACGCGGATTCGTGAAGGTGGGAGAGGCATAGATGCGGGGGGCATCGCAGTACAGTCCAACAACTGTCAACTACACAGCCCTGCAGTGTATCGCCTATGACACCTGTTATCCACAGCGGTTGCCCAAGCACTATCCAGGCTTAACCTGCTTAGCTTCCGAAATCAGGATGAGATCCGGTGCATTCCAGTTGATTGGGTCACAGGCGTACATCCCGCACAAAACCGAAATGACCACCAAATATCAATGTAGCAACGTATCGTAACAGGTAATCTATGATGTAATTTGTGCCATTTACATGCTTATAATATCTGCATGTGTCACCTTCAGGCGAAGTTAATGACCGGGACAGAACAAAGGCAGAATACAGACAATACAAATGAGATTGTGCAAACGAGACAATGAAGAATAGATGATTGAATCGAATCGTGACCCTGAATCATGACAACTCCTAGCATCTCAGGTCAAGATGGGGGATCATTAAATCTGACTGGAAAAAAAATACGTAAACGCAACCATCGGCAGCTCTGATAAATGCACTGCTGCTTGAAGACCTTCCCAAGCAGTCTCGGCATCTGTCACGATCCTGCGACGTAGTAATCCGCCCAGCTCCTACGGACGAGCCGATTTCATCACTCCATCTCACCGGCAGACGTACCTTTCAGATGCGTTACTTTCCTTGGCCGTAAGTCAGTCATTATTATTGACTATCTGCCATCACATCCCTTCGAACCGCGCGGTGTCCTGCCCACTTACTTTTATGAACAGTTTGAATTACGTCATTAATCCCTGTATACTCGCCGATACGTGCAAGTTCCTAGTGCTGTCAATGTTATTTCAAGAGTGCATCTTTCTCTTCACCCATTTTTGCGATGTGTTTCTGGGCCAGGTTTCTCAACTATGGCATAGCGGCCAGTACGCAACCGGCTAAGAGACATCGTCTCTCAAACAACAACAAAATGAGGCAAGAAAAATACAGGACACAGAAGGAAAAAGTAATGCGTGTTGTACCTTGCTGCCTTGGCAACCGTGGTCAGCTCATCAGGAAGGCTCAGCAGGTCTGGGTCCTTCTTCTCGGCCTCCTGTTACCATGGCAACAGATGGAGGACCACGCAGGGGGCACCGCTAAGTGGGCACGGTTGCCGCATGGAGCCTCGCTGGCACGGCTCGGGCACCTACCGGACTACATCGCTGTAATGTGGCGTCATCATCGTTATTAATAACAGAATCGTCATGGTTAATTACGCCAATGCTGTGACGTCTCCTTGCCAAGAAGGCAACAAACGGCTCTCCTGTGAGACGAGGCGTTTCAGCTGCAGTGAGCTTGCGCAACGCTCTCCGAGATGAGAAGGGGCGCAGAGAGGGAGCCTTCTGCCTGGAGGGAGGTGGTGGGTGAGCGTGGGTGAGCGTGAGTGAAGGTGGGTGAGCATGGGTTTGCATGGTGAGCGTGGGTAAGCGTGGGTGGGAGTGGTGAGAGTCGGTGAACATAGGTAGGTATGGTGAGTGTGAGTGAGCGTGGGTGAGTGAGCGTGGGTGAGTGTGAGTGAGCGTGGGTGAGTGTGGGTGAGTGAGTGTGGGTGAGCGTGGGTGAGCGTGGGTGAGCGTGAGTGAGTGTGGGTGAGTGAGCGTTGGGTGAGCGTGGGTGAGCGTGAGTGAGCGTGGGTGAGCGTGAGTGAGCGTGAGTGAGCGTGGCGAGTGTGAGTGAGCATAGGTGGGTATGGTGAGTGCGCGTGAGCGTGGGTGAGCGTGAGCGAGCGTGGGTGAGCGTGGTGAGCGTGGGAACCCACTGCTGCTCTGTCCTCACCAGGAGGAGGAAGTGAATGAGGCTGAGCCCAGGTCGGTTGCTGCGCGTCTCCTTGAGCTTCGTGAGCGTGCTGAGCCGAAATCCCTGCGCTCCCCCCATGAAGCCACCCTTTGAACGCAGACGTAGTAGAGTTAACTACTCGATGTTCACAAACTGGGAGAGCAATTCGTTGACAAGGCTTTCCCGCTCGAACTAACGGTCAGGGTCTCACAAGCTGTGAGAGCTGACCGTAGTAAAGAAGGTTTTCCCGCGCGACCTAACGGTCAGGGTCAGATAGGGTGAATTGGGATCCAAAAGCAGATTGGGAACGACCAATCACAGGGTTCCACAAGGTGGCCGGGGATTGGACAACCCGGCCACGAACAAGTATAAAGCCAGAGCGCTGAGAGCTCTGGAGGAGTTCGGCTACACGAAGACCCAAGACGGCGGAGGAAGCCTCGGACCCTAGACCAAGCCCTCCAGCCCTTACAAAGACGGCGAAAGTCCCACATTTAAAGCTTTGCACAACGTTTGAGAAGGCGCTGTGTGTCATCGAGCACATATTACATCCCATGTGACAAATGAGATGGGTGTGATAGGGTTACCACTGGACCCAGTCACCTTTGTCTCTTGCCGAGCGGTGGCGATGTTCGCACACCGCACAGGGTAAACATTTTAGGCTGTCTTGACCTAGGAAAGGCCCTTCCCAATTGACAATGATGCACATTGACAGGAATCAATCCCGGGTCGCCAGTCTTGGAGCATTGTTTGGGCCAATATGGAAGATATACACAGTATAATATTATGTATGTAATAATAGTGCAATTTATAACGCGCGCAAATTTGCGGATGTAATGGCCGCAATTCAGAGGCGCGGAGCCAAGCTCAGAGTCGCTCGAAAGCATGATTGTAGAGGTGAGTTTTTAAGTGTCTCTTGAAGGAGGCGATTGAGGTGATGCTGCGAATGTGCAGAGGGGTGATGGCGTTCCAGACTGTTGGGGCTGTCACCGAGAAGCGGCGCATAGACGTGACCATCCTGGATCTTGGTATCAAGAAGAGGTCGTGAGTCGCGCTGCGCAGGCATGTACAGCTCTGTGTCAATCCACTGCTAGATGAGGGCCTCCTCACAACGAATGGGTCGTGGGAGTTATGAGCCCGTACTTTATCACCCTGCTCTGTGCCGGATGAAGTATACAAACCGTACCTGCGAAAAATCACGTGCAGGAAATAGAAGGGCTTCCTATAACCAACCGCATTACGTTCGCCAAGTAAATATGCTGATAATATATATCCTTCATATATCGGGGCCCCTTCAAATAAAAAAATTAGTATCTTTGAAAAGTTGCCATCAACGACAAAGCCGTGTTTGGAGTGCATAATTTAATCGGCAGCATTTATTCAATTCAATACTCTACAGGCAAACTCTGGATCGGGTTTGAGGTACGGCGTCTCATAAGCAGCATGAGGCTTGCTTGAACCATATGCAAGTATGCAATGCGTGTGTGTTATATAATGCGTATCTAATGATATGTTGTGCTACATTGACTAAACATGTGGAGATTCATTTCTGCAGTGATTTGATGGGCTGTCACATTCAGGGCTAGTGATTGACAACTATTTCTTGTCGTTTTTACCATTTAATTTGTAACGTGTTCTCATTGCTTGCTGTCTCATGTGCACAGCTTTGTTCACTCTATTAGCCTCAATGCGACGTTGGCATATCGTTTGAATGTCATTTACGTGAACGGTAAATATAATGTCTCACCCGCGTGCTTCCATGAATGCATCAGGAGTGTGAGAATTAATTTAAAATATATTCACCGAAACATGGGTATACTCCCAACACTTGCAACTTACAAAACCTTTGCACGAACGTTGGCCCAACGTTCCATGGTTACTGGGTTAAAAACGTGTTGCTCAAAAACTGAACCACATGCAGTTTGCCCCCCCCCCCTCTGCAACTTACAAAGTTGAGGAAGTTTCCCACTTGCAGGACAAACATGCAGAATCGCGGGAGCCTCTTGCTGGACAGCAGATCTGCAGCAGGACGACAACGCGATCACAAACACCCACACTTGGCACCTCGCGCACCCTCAAGAAAGTACCACAATCACGGCCCCGCGCCCTCTACTGGGAGACTTTAGCAACTGCAGGGAGATTTATTTCCCTATATTGACCATAGCCAGGGGATGGGCAACCAAAATAGCAAGAAAGGTCACTTTTTTTTCGAATTCGGTAAACAATGGTCACGAAGCGGTCCTTTTAGAGCCGCGTGGGGCTTCACAGCCACGGGTTTCCGACCCCGTGCCCGTAGACACCTCTGCACGTAATGGCATGAACCATCGATATAACACTCACTTTCCCTACCCCCCCCCCCACACACGAGTTACACTACAAGTGATGCTACTGGTGCCACGCCATGCGATGATGGCAGAGAAAGTCTTGTGGAGACGCGTCAATGCGACCTCTTTATTCACATGAAGAGCCGCGACTTTATATACCCTGCAGATAGTGCTTGCTGAATGTCAACATCTAAATGTTCCAGTCTCAGAGAGAGCTGGAATTCAGCCAAATTAAGTTATTTTTCTATATATACGACGATTTACTTTGTGTAGTCATCGGTGAGTGGGCTGAGATCACCAACTTTGAGTGTCTGCCTGGATTCGAACTTAGGTATCTCAGCGGCAGCAGCTCAGTGCTGCTCTGGGAACTCTCCACCCCACTGACTAACCCACACTGGACAAAGTCTGGTGAAGTCACAATCAAACCCCCCCCCCCACCCCATGACCGACACTGCACAAGGAAGTTTTCTAAATGTAAAACCCATTGCTTTAGAACGGCTTTGTGTGTTTGGTTTGTTATCCTCCCCCTGCACCTCCGTTGGTTGGCTATGTATGGCGCGAAAGAAGTTCAACAGACATCATCGTCATCATCACAATCCATGGACAGATCGCCCGTAGGTGTCCACTGCACATATCGTCACTGGTTTCCACTTTCGTCTGTCCTGTGCCAACATGCTCAAGTAGCGCCACATCTTCCTGGCACCGATCTCTTATGTCGTCAAGCCCATGCTCTGTTAGGTCTTCCTCTCTTTCCTGTAACCTTCAACTTTTTCCGAACACACTTTAAATGTTCCTGTTGTTGTTGCTGCTGCTGCTGCTGCTGTTGTCCATCCTACATACATGTCCAAATAGTGCCAGTTTCCTTCTCATCACTGCTGTGCATCAGGTCTTCCTTCTATGTTGCAACGCTTTCCTTACTTCCTCGGCAGCGTTCAACAAACGCACAAGTTTAAATCCGGCAGTGAATCCTCACATCCTTAATCGTGCGCGATCGCCGACCGCAGCGGAAGCCGCACTGACCATCGCAGGATGTGGCGAGCAACTGGGCTCGGGGCAGCAGGTTCTCCAGAATGGAGCCAGCTTCTTGGCACAGCAGAAGGACGTCGATCCTGAGGGAGTAGCTGCACGTGGGGGCCGAGGAAGAGAAAGGGGTGGGGTGGTAGGAGACTGGTCACGTAGGAAAAAGGAGAGGCCGGTATTTTGGAGTAAAGTATGTGAAGGTGTCTTATTGGTTATTTCGGTAAAGTCACGTAGAAGGGAAATAATAAAATAATAAAACTAATAAAATAATAAAATAATTCTCACGACGTTTCAGCTACAACGCAAGCAGCCGGTTTTCTTCACCTGACGACGGCTGCTTGCGTTGTGGCCGAAACGTCGTGAGAATTATTTTATTATGTTTTATTTTTATTATTTTATTATTTCCCTTCTACGTGACTTTACCGAAAGAACCAAGAAGATGAATCCCTACAGTCACGAAAGCTTTAAATCGAAATTTACGTGAAGTTGTTCAATGGACCATATGATTGTCTTGTGCGTGGGTCTGACCTACCATTGTGAAATGCATACTGTACATGCTCTTATATATACTGCACAATTTTTGACAGTCAATTGGTATGCAGTAATGGTCTATGCCAGGTATCCCTTGCAGACTTGATCTCAATGGGGCTATACTTTATTATTACAACTGCAATAATAATTACCGCAATGCCATTTGGCAAGCGAATGTAAAGAGAGTGTCACGTGCGTTTATAAAGACATTTGGATGTAATGTGCAAGCAGTGTGCGCGTGGGTGCTGTCTGTCACTCGCCCACGTGCATGTGTGTGGGTGTGCACTCTTTGCGGTGAGCGGTCGTGGAGCGATTGGCGAGTAGTGCTGCGAACCCGGCGACCCGAGTTCCATTCCCGGTGGCGAATATCTGAACCGGTAGGTTGTCTGAGCCTCAAATGAGCACCTAAATGCGATGTATAAACATCACCATTAGGGAGACAAAGGCGGCCGGGCATGGTGCTGGCCTACCCACCCTCTCATGTGCTGTTCCGGACTTCATTGGGTGCTCACTTACAGCACTTTCCCCAACGGTCTGTAAAGGCTATACAGAGGATCTTTGCCTTTGCCTTTCTGAATTCAGAAAATTAGAATGCACGCACGCTCTTACGTCCCCAAGGCTCCGAGCACATTCACACGACAGTACAGACCCACGATGACACACGCACGCACGCATGTATGTATGTGCACAGTGACACGCACAGATGCATTATTAGTCACACATTTACACGGACACAACAACGTTCATTCTCAATCAAGGCCAAAGACAACGAAAGACAAAGGCAGCCTTAACAGACTGTTGGGGCCAATGCTGTTGGTGAGCACCTATGAAGGCCGGCACGGCACACGAGGGGTGGCGGGGGTTGCCAGCACCATGCCCGGCCGCCTTTGTCTCCTTAGTGGCGATATTTACACAATGCACCGAGAACTCATGTGAGGCTGAGTCGACCTAGGTGAGGCTAAAATCAGATATGTGTCACCGGCGTTGGCAGCGAGCACAAATTGAACTCGGGTCGCTGGGTTCGTAGCACAACATGCTCACCGCTACACTACTGCTCAGCTGCGCCCACACGCACAAATGCACACGTGCGTGCACACACGCACACGTGTACATTCTTATTCACCCACACGACCACAATGCACGTTTCTCACTGGGGCAATGCGACGAGCAGCTGATAGAATCTCTCCGCGTTCCCCAGTGGCTTTCCTTCATCCTTAAATGCCGTCACCATGGAAACCTGCACATGGCATCACCCCCACATCATTACTTTTCAGATATGTTGTTTTTGAATGCCTGCCATAAACTAATTATCATCACATGCACAACGGACACCATTATCGTCCCTCCAGCCCCGCTGGTCTCACTAATGCACACGGCTGAGAGAGGAAAACATTACAGCACCGAGTGATGTTTACATTGCCTTGCCCGTGACCATACAAACGTGTGCAGGGGCACGTCATCTGAACGTTTCATCGCCGACCTAATCTGTAAGCGCGCACCTAATCTACGCAGGAACATTCATGCCCCAATTAGAGCTGCGAGCACCTCCTGACATTTACAAAGTTAGCCGTTCATAAAGGGGTTATTTTATTCATAAGGTCGACGTTTTGAAATCCACAACTCAAGCCGCACGTCATTCAATTTCAAAGGGACGTATTCACTCCTCCGAGAACCAACATGCTGCGCACACGGCTACATGCACGTATCTCGCTTCCTGTTGCATTGTAACAGTCATGGGGCTATGCACGACAGTACTCCCGCACTATGGAGGCGAGAGATGCGAAACTCTATTCCTATGGGCGTCGAGGTTGCAATACCTTCAAAGTTCAAAGTTCATTTATTAGGTGTAGCCCTGTGAGCCATTCGGCTCTTGAATCGGGTGCAACCGCAACAACAAAATATACCTAGATTTGAAGCTTTCGTGACTGCAAGGATTCATATTCTTAGGTTTTTTCGGTAAAGTCACGTAGGTAAAACATCAAAATTAATAAAAATAAAATAAAACAAAAATCACGACGTTTCGGAGGCAACACAAGTCTCCGTCATCAGGTGGGACCGTCACAGCCGGATTAGCTGCATCAAGTGAGGCCACGACATCCGTGGGATGTGATACAGGAAACATGTGGACTCCACTTGTTTCGTCGATATGGGATGGAGCGTTTCCCCCTCGCACACGTGGGTTTTCTCCAGGTGCTCTGGATTGCTCCCGCATGTAACAGACTCACCGATTGGCTGATAGCACCTTAATACATAGAAGATCACAGAGCTTGGGCAATCGTTGGTGCCAGCTCACCGTGTGGCTGCATTGCCTCAATGTCTCCTGGACGCCTATGAAAAAGAGCTTTATAGCTCAGCAGATTCCTCCAGTATAAATAAATATTCTGTTCTGTCTGTGGTTCTTCGCGCCTCGGAGTCGTTTTCTCTCTCTTCGAGAGTGAGCACATATTTGGGGTTTACTGTACAAGCCAGTATTAGCCCATCGCACATCGAGTTAATTTTCATTGTAAACCAGTGTGGGTTTATTAGATTTCGGAGCAAGAGTGACGTTTAAAGCCTTCTTAAAGCTTTGCCTCGCGCCACGTTATACATTTTTGCACAAAACCAAACTTTGGCCTTCTGACTGGCACATCATTGGGTTAGCATGGAGACATTTCGGTACTTTTTTTACATAGGTCAAAGGTCACAGGTTGTACAGGTCACATCATCATGACCTTGTTTCATTGTTTCTTTCAAATAAAATGTCCTCTTGCTCGGCTACGCACGACAAAAATTGATTGACCAATCGCTTTGCTAAGAGACGCGTGTACGAGTGTAATTCCTTATAATTGAGGGCCCAATAGGGTCTCAAACATCTACTCAGTTGGATAGTTAAAAAAAAAACTAGTTAGACGATACTCTTTGGTTCTTTCGGTAAAGTCACGTATAAAGATAAAATAATAAATTAAATAATAGCATACGACGTTTCGATTGCAACACAAGTAATCATCATCTCTAACCCCCTCCCCCTCTCTCTGCCCCCACCCCCTCTCTCTATTTAAGGCCTCGTCACAGAGACGTTCTCTCTCTGTGTGCCTATTGTGTTGCGCTCTCTCTCTATGTATCTTGGTGATATCTGTCTGCTTATATGTCTGTCTATAGTTTTCTGGTTAGATTTTTGTTGCTATTTAATTTATACCTGATGATGATTGCTTGTGTTGCAATCGAAACGTCGTATGCTATTACAGTATTTAATTTATTATTTTATCTTTATACGTGACTTTACCGAAAGAACCAAAGAGTAATTCCTGCAGTCACGAAAGCTCCAAAATTAGTAAGACGATACACAAATCCAAATTGTATTGTTTTGCATGGTACGAACGTACACTTTGTACACGGTTCCAAACAATGTAAAACCGCAGGGCTGGGTTGCATTGAGCTAAGGCGCCAGCGGCGCCACGATGGAGCAAGTCACCTCGGAGGAGTCGGGCAGCAGCTTGACGAGCTGCTTGAGGTTGTCCTGGTCGAGACGCTCGCGGTCTCCACGTCGGATCATGTCCACGACCGCCCCGTTAGAGCTGCGCTCGCGGGGCACAGGGAAACGGCAGATGCATCTCCGCTCACCGCGTGTACATGCGTTGTGTGTGCGTCTGTACATCACATACATGTATATTATAACAAGTCATCTCAATCAGTCAATCCATGGCACCTGGGTTTCCCGCCAGCGAGCGTTCCGCACTTCACAAGGCCCCAAAGTGCACCTAGCCTGGCACAAGCACTGTGGTGGCGTCATCGCCACTTGGTTGCGAATGGCAGAACGGTGCTGTAGCGGTGGCCGCACGACACTACAAACCTGATCACCTGCGTTTAATTCCCGGCCACGGCTAAAATCAGTGGCAAGAGATAACTTAAATGGTCCTGGGCCTTTACTTAGGTCTACTCAGCCGAGAGAAGGTGTACAAATCATTGCATGCCTATTTTCGAACGGGTTAAATATCTTCAATTACAATTCTGATCAAGGTGCACATCAGTGGCAATTGATTTCTGAGCATGGATTTGGCTTCCCGTAGGTCGACTCAGACTTAAAGGAGCACCCGGTGCAGTGCGAAGTCAACAGCGGCTATGGGGTGACAAATGTGGCCAGGCGTGATGATACTGGCTACACCTCTGTTTTTTTTTATTTACCAAGTAAGGCCCACTGAGGTGTAAAGCAATTTTTTCAGAAGCGACCTGCCCACAAATGATAGCTCAACGAAGTGGCTTGTCACGTGGCAATTTACAGCACCCGTTTACTCTAAGCGTTTCTAAACATGCGTCATGTCCTGTGGTGGCCTTACTTGGTGCTCGCTAACAGCACTTTGCCCCAACCAATTTGCCTGCGTGCGCTCGTATGTGTGGGCAGCAGTGATACATGCAGCTACAATACAGGCGACGTGAGTTTTATTCTTGAACATTGATATCATCGGTGGTACATTATAGCCGAACCATATTGGGTTTCCACTATTTAATGTTACGACAACTGTATTTGCTTCAGCAGATATAATTGGTCACTTGCTTCGCCAGATGTGACAGTGCAAAGATGTGTAAGCTGATAATTGTTTTTTTACCCTTTAATCTGGCAACAAAACTGACACCTTTTTTACGAGGAGTCATGTTTGCATAGACCACAATACTTGCAGTCATAATCCAAACAAAAAACACAACTCTGATAATGTATACACTGTCCTTGAAGTTGATTGGTCCACACCCGAGACACCTTTCCTTAGAGCCTAGTCTCACATGGGTTGGACCAGATGACGCCTTTTGGACCAATCACAACTTCTAGGACAGTGCATACATTATCAGAGTTATGCTTTTTGTTTGCATTATGACTGCAAGTATTGTGGTCTATGCAAACATGACTCCTCGTAAAAAAGGTGTCAGTTTTGTTGCCAGATAAAATGGTAAAAAAACAATTATCATATTTTTTTACTGTGTAAGCTCTTACCACTTGAATTGCTTGAGGAAGATGTTAATATTCAAGCTCTTCTTCTGATCCAAAAACGTCACCTGAGGTCAACAAAAATAGGCCACGAGCAATTCATCCAGCAGTGGACCGAGAAAAGCTGGCAGTAGCAGCGGCCAAATGTGGACAAATTATCTTGGCTTTTATTGGGCACCCCAAGCCGCACCCAAAGTGGTGTTCTAAATGTTTAAGGAAGGCACACGCCAAACATTGCTGCTTATGTCACAGCTGTGTGTCCTGTCAAGTCCATCATGGGTTTGGAACTTCCCTAACGAGACCACGCTTTCACTACTTTCATCAGCAATTTCGTGATGTCACTGCAGAGCACCTGAAAATCAATCTAAAGTTTTTTTAAATTCTCAACCGAGTTTCAGACCAGAGTCAGAGAGACCAGGACGTGGCGAGTGATAACTGCACCTTTCCTGGCACTCACACTTCACCAACCCACATTGACCAGCATGGTGAAGTATGGTCAAATAACCCACTATGATTGAGATGGTGTGGGGGAGGTCTTTATCCGATAGTAGATTGACAAAGGGCTCTATCCCATAACAATTGTAGTGGCAGTATTAATAATAATGGCCTTTATTTATATATGAAAGCCTGAATGAGTCTCAAGACTCTGTATTGGGACACTTGGCTAATTATATTAATGAGCGTTCGGCACACAAGATCCTGCACCTCCGATTAGCATGGTTGGATACGTACGGTGCGAAGGAAATTGAACGTGCATACATACATACATTATCACACTGGTTGCAATTCTCAGCGTCGAGTGGACATGCCACTTCGTGACAACAAAACTCCCGTACCTCTTGGGGATCAGCCCGTCGCGCCGTTGTTTTGGAAGTGGAGGGAGTGGCCTGCGGCTGGCAGAACAGCTGCTCGATGGCCGAAAAATCTGGCTCCATGGACTCGGTCTGAGCCAAAACCCAGAGCGACGGCTTGTCCGCACATTCTACAAACAACGGTAGCAGTGGCACCAACATCCACGCCCATTGAACTACCACACGGACTTCAGAAAACTACTACAATATCGATATACGTATGTATGATTAACTTCTTTCGCACCATCCGTAGTCAACAGTGCTAATCGGAGGTGCGGGGGAAGGACAACCAACTAAACACAAAAGGCAGTTCTAAAGAAATTAGTTTCCAATCGAGATGATTTAAAAGTGCACAGCTCCAGCGGCTTCCTAATAACAGAAGGCAGAGCGCGTTCCAGATGGCCGCAGAAGCGCATCTGAAAACGACTTTGTTCGATGGTTAGCCATCGAACCATCGATGGTTAGCCAAAAACCACAGTGAGGATGACCGGAGTTTTCATGACGGTTTATGCTGCTTGACGAGATCAGCGCCATCTACCGCACCAACAAATCAATGGCAAAGTAAATGCTCAATTAAAACGCACTGTTGTCTACTGTGTGTACATTCAATACCCCATGCTTGTCTGTTATAAATATGAATACAACTGCGAGGCAAGCTCAGTGTCCTGAATAAAGTACCCCCCCCCCCCCCTTGGCTCAATTAACGATTCTGATATAGCAAAACTTTTCCGACCATATGAATAGTCTCAATTGCAACCCTATGTTGGATTGACTGTGTGTGTGTACAGAACCAGAACATAACCTCATTCCAAACACTCCTTCAGTCACGTTCAAATAAAAAAAACAATACGAAACATGTGACTGATGATGATGATGATAAGAGTATATCAATGAAAGCAAAGCAAATTAATCGCCTTGCATGCAACTCATAATTGCTTACTTGGCAATGTATTGCTGGCCACCTTCTGCCAGTTGAGTTTCTTGAGTTGCACCGTTGGCCTGCGCTCAAGGACCGCATGCCTCTGGGGCACCTGTGCCCCCAGTGGTGGTGGAGCAGCACTCAGAAGTACGGGACAAGGAGGTGGAGGAGGAATCATCTCATTGGTCGGAAAGGGCGGCGGCAGTGGCGGCGGTAGCGGAGGCATTCCCATATGACCAGGTAAAGGTGGAGGAGGAGGAATTCCACCAGTCGAGATTCCATTGGAAGGCCTGAGGGAGGGCGGGAGTGGGGGTGGTGGTGGAATTCCACCAGCCGAGATTTCATTGGGAGGCCCAAGAGAGGATGGGAGTGGGGGTGGTGGAGGAGGAGGAGGAGGTGGAGGAGGAGGAGGTGGGGTAGGGGCAGAGATAGATTTTGATCTACAACTCTCTAACAAAGGAGGAAGTGGTGGTGGCGGTGGTGGTGGAGGTGGCATTGCTTCCACCTGAGATCTCAGCTGGGTATGAGAAGGAGCAACTATTGACAACTCAGTTAACATGGCGACAGCAGTCCCACAATGCACCGCTTCAGAAGAATTCACTTTGGCGTCAGCAGACTGACATTTTCCAAGCAAAGGTACTGGGCCACCAGAAGGCGCGATGGGCATGGAAGTAGAGGCTCGCGTCGCTTCGGCAAGGCTCTCGTGATCCAGTCGAGCAGCCTTGAGTGCCATCATCTTGTCGAATTTCCCCACTTTGGTGTTTTGCTGCTTCTGCTGTGGCTGCTGTGGCTCTGCTGGATGAGGATGAGACTTGGGTGAAGGGATCAACCTCGTCAGGACAGCTTCCAGCTCCTGGTCTTCTTTAACTGTCAACACATCAAGCTGCTCATTTGAAAACAATTATAATAATACAATCAACAGCAAACAAAATACGACGCTGCATTCAGTTTGTTCCCGAAACCAAAAACAACTTTACTGCACCACGGATAAATAAGAATTTGCATTTATATAATGTGCAAACACAACACAGAATTTCAAAGCACTTCACAATGCACACAGTCTGCATTTCAAGTACCAATGGCAGAAAGCGATTTTTTTTCAAATGAAAAAAAAATGAACAGAGAGGACAACACATTTACGACAATGACAGAAAACGACATGAAAGCTGGCGCACAAACACACATCGGGGTGCGCCGGGTACGGACGACATCCGGAAGCCAAGGAAATTACAATTTCACAGGACGGCATAAAATTCCAGGCGCGTTCCACTATCCACTCACCTGACCTCTCTGACCCCCACACCCCAAACCACACCACGGTGTCATATAGGAAAAAATAAATGCGTAACGAACAAGAAATAACGCTGCGTCTGCAAATTAACCCTTGAGACAAGGGTCAGAGTTCAGCTCTAGCGAACGTTCAGCAACGCCTTTAGCAATCTGAGGTTCTAAGATACTTTCTGAGAGTTCAATCAAACCAACACATTATTTAATACAAATTAAATACATTACTTAATTTCTACATTGACATACAGAAAGAAAGAAGTAAAAACATATGGTAGTAGGGTTTTCCCCTTTTTTCTGGCAACAAAACAGGTGTCAAGATGTTAAAACACCAAACTGAAACCTTTTACAAGGAATCATGTCTGCATTAACCACAATGCTTGTGGTCAGAATGCAAACAAACAACACTCTGATAATATACGCATTGTCCTTGAAACCGATTGGTCCACACCAAAGAAGGGCGGCGTTAAATGTTGCATTTTAGAACCATGATAGATGTCAGCGGCTGGGGGGAGTCCTTCATCCAACAGTGGATTGGTCGTGGCTCATGATGACATCGCTTATGTGAAATTAAACTAAAAGACCCCTTCCAAAGCAACATCAAGGAGGCCAATGGGTAATCAGAACGAGTTAACACAGCCGGAGACACGAGATTGTCCGGTGGCTGTGTGGCACCGGCAGCAGAGGGGAAATCCCGTGGCGTTGCTATCGAGTGCTCAGGCCACGTAACAGCACCGGGGCCCACAGGGGTGCAGGTATGCCTCGGCAAGGTAAGGTAAAAGTTGAAAGGCCCAGGCACAGGCGCCGGGGGCTACGAGGACGGTGGGGGGGTAATTGAACAAGCCGCCCCCCCCCAATGTTATTCCTCCTGTGAGGGCAAGAGGTCTCAACCGGGTGCCCGATACCCGTACCCTACCCGATACCTGGCTACCCGTACCCGACTGGGTACGGGTACGGGTAGCCGTTTGCGACCTTGGTGCGGCCGGGTACGGGTAGGCCGTGAGTCACTGGTGAGTAACCGTTTGTCACTCAAACGGGTATGGATAGGGAACGGGTACCCATTTGCGACCCTGGTGCGGCCGGGTACGGGTACGGGTAAGGAATCAAAACCCGTTTGCGACCTCTGGTGAGGGTCCATGCCAAATAGGCTGCGCCACTGGGAATATCAATACACTGCCTGCGTAGAGAGAAAAGTATTTATTATTTGTCTCTCACGAGTGGGAAATGTGCGACAGGCAGGTACTCGTGGCGTGAGAACTCCACAGATCTACGTTCGAGGGGCCCCAGTGGGATTTTCTCGTCATGGGACCAGAGGTCGCAAACTGGTTTTGATTCCTTACCCGTACCTGTACCCGGCCGCACCAGGGTCGCAAACGGGTACCCGTACCCGGCCGGGTACGGGTAGCTGGGTATCGGGTAGGGTACGGGTATCAGGTACCCGGTTGCGACCTCTGCATGGGACCCGGGGTGGGGGGGAGGGGGGGGAGATGCCTACCCTCATCGGCGACGAGGACGGCACGCTGGGCCACAAACTCGAGCGCGGCCCAGAGTGGCGAGGCCCCGGGCAGCGCCGGCTCCAGCTCCAGGAGGCTCTGCAGGATGGTGAGCAGCTGGGAGGACACGGGGTGGCTGCTCACCTGCACGATGCCACACGGGGGGGGAGGGGAGCGCAAGTGGGGACCAGCATCAAATCACGCGTCTCGGTTAACGGGCCGACAACTAAAGCAAACGAGTCTTAAATTTCGATTGAAAGCTTTCGTGACTGCAGGGATTCATCTTCTTGGTTCTTTCGGTAAAGTCACGTAGAAGTGATATCCAAACGAGTCCCTAACACCCCCCCCCCCCAACTCCCTCCGCCAACCCGCACTGTCCAGAATGGCGAAGTATGGTCAAACAACCCTCCATGGCCAACATGGCACTGGGAGGCCTTCATCCAGCAGTGGAATTGACAAAAGGCTGAAATAAACGAATTGTAAACCGATGCTTTTCACAATAGTGGTCAAAAGTTAAAATGACATTTCATCTTCTTGGTTCTTTCGGTAAAGTCACGTAGAAGGGTAATAATAAAATAATCAAAATAAAACATAATAAAAGAATTCTCACGACGTTTCGGCCACAACGCAAGCAGCCATCCTCAGGTGAAGAACAGATCTGTCAGAAAGACAGTGTCTGAATGACGCTGTCTTTCCGACAGACCTGTTCTTCTGAATGACGCTGTCTTTCCGACAGACCTGTTCTTCACCTGAGGACGGCTGCTCGCGTTGTGGCCGAAACGTCGTGAGAATTATTTTATTATGTTTAATTTTTATTATTTTATTATTTCCCTTCTACGTGACTTTACCGAAAGTACCAAGAAGACAAACGAGTCTTGGTTGCGTTTTGCAGCTGGCCAGTTTGCGTGAATGACGCCGAATAAAAACATTGATTTTTAAATATTATTGTTTTGTCCTTTTGCCCAATTGTATCTCGATTGTGACTTGCATGCGTTTGTGTCACCCTTAGGCTGAAATAAAGAGCTGACTGCACCTGCACCGAACTTATCTCACATGACACGTGGACTGTTTTTGTCTCGCGTGTATTTTGTTTACAAACGTTGAAGACCTCGCTTGTCAGTTGTGTGATACTCCTTAAGGACCCTGGACTCGTTCTGCCCAATGTTGATGTTTTTTTACCAATTTTTGTTATTGCTGTGCTCACGCACCACGGATCTCCTTTGTAAACGAGCCGGCCGACGGGCTAAATGGGATCCTCCGTCTAACAAATCAAAATAAACAAACGCAGCCAAACATACAGTGTTCTGCTCACCCCACGGGATCGCTTCTCAGGGCGAGGTTCCTCGTAGCATTCATAACCAGCGGGTCACGGCTGCAGGTGTCCACCAGATAAACACGCATCTCTGCTCAGCCTTGTCGGTTGAGTGGGGCAGATTGAGTGTTCCGCCCTTACATTAAATGGGCCGTCTTCAGTTTATTCCATTGTCCTCCAACACACACACCACTCAGAGATGATTCATAGTAAAAAAGTAGGTCATTTACTTATACACGACTAGCTGTACTACCCGGCTTCGCCCGGGACTTGTATCTACCACGGCCGGCCGCCTTTGTCTCCCCAGTGGCGATGTTAATACGCTACAGTAGTTAAGTTACTCGTTTGAGGCAGAGTCGACCTAGGGGAGGTTCAAATAATCGTCACCGGTGGTGGCCGTGAGCGGGAATCGAACTGGGTTTGCCGGGTTGGTAGCGCAGCGTAGCGTTAAGCACTACACCCACCGCTCCTCACACACCACACACGCACAGACACACACACAGACACACACACAGACACACGCAGACACACACAGACAGAAACACACACACAGACAGCACGCTAACCACTACACTACCGCTCCCCACACACCACACACGCACACACACAGACACACAGACACACACACAGACACACAGACACACACACACAGGCAGCACGCTAAGCACTACACTACCGTTCCCCCTACACAACACACGCGCGCGCGTCCATAGGTACACATACACGCGCTTGCTGCAGACACACACGACTTTCAGGGTGCATACGGCAGTAAACGACTGAAATAATAAAGCGGCAATGCTGTGTAAGGAACGCCTTAGACCCGCATTATACATTTGTGTAATGCGAGCGTAAACACACAAACACACACAAACACATACACAATACACACACACATACATGCAGACACACAGACAGACACATAACACACATACATACACACACATACAAACACAGAAACACATACACACACATACATAGACACACACATACATACACACGAACACATCCACAGACGTACATACACACATACATACAGGCACGCAGACATACACATAAACACATACAAAAAAACCCACATACATACACACACACATACATACACACAAACACATGCACACACATACATACACACATGCATACAGACACACAGACATACACATAAACACATACACACATACACATGACCCGGCTTCGCCCGGGACTTTGATCCACCACGGCGGCAAAACCGACATACATACACACACAGACATACACACAAACACATACACACACATACATACACACATGCATACAGACACACAGACATACACATAAACACATACACATGACCCGGCTTCGCCCGGGACTTGGATCCACCACGGCGGCAAAACCGACATACATACACACACAGACATACACACAAACACATACACACACATACAAACACACATGCATACAGACACACAGACATACACATAAACACATACACATGACCCGGCTTCGCCCGGGACTTGGATCTACCACGCCCAGCCGCCTTTGTCTCCCAAGTGCCGATGTTAATACGCCACACCAGTTACTCGTTTGAGGCTGAGTGGACCTAGGGGAGGTTCAAATAATCGTCACCGGTGGTGGCCGTGAGCGGGAATGGAACTGGGTTCGCCGGGTTGGTAGCGCAGCGTAGCGTTAAGCACTACACCCACCGCTCCTCACACACCACACACGCACAGACACACACACAGACACACGCAGACACACACAGACAGACACAGACAGACACACACACACACAGACAGCACGCTAAGCACTACACTACCGCTCCCCACACACCACACACGCACACACACAGACACACACACAGACACACGCAGACACACACAGACAGACACAGACAGACACACACACACACAGACACAGACAGCACGCTAAGCACTACACTACCGTTCCCCCTACACAACACACGCGCGCGCGTCCATAGGTACACATACACGCGCTTGCTGCAGACACACACGACTTTCAGGGTGCGTAAGGCAGTAAACGACTGAAATAATAAAGCGGCAATGCTGTGCGAGGAACGCCTTAGAGCAGCAACACATTTGTGTAATGCGAGCGTAAACACACAAACACATACAAACACATACACACACATACATACACACACATACACACAAACACATACACACAGACATACACATACACGCAAACACACACATACATGCACATAAACACATACACAATACACACACACATACATGCAGACACAGACAGACACATAACACACATACATACACACACATACATACACAGAAACACATACACACACATACATAGACACACACATACATACACACAAACACATGCACACACGTACATACACACATACATAGAGACACGCAGACATACACATAAAGACATAAAAAAAACCCACATACATACACACACACATACACACAAACACATACATACACATACATACACACATACATAGAGACACACAGACATACACATAAACACAAACACACACACACATGACCCGGCTTTGCCGGGGACTTGGATCCACGATGCCCCGCCGCCTTTGTCTCCCCAGTGACGATGTTCACACACGACAGCAGTTACGCTTTTGAGGCTGAGTGGACCTAGGGGAGGGCCAGGTCCGTTTCAAATAATCGTCAGCGGTGGTGGGCGTGAGTTGGAATCGAACTGGGGTCGCTCAAGCAGCTTAATGACTGTTTGTACAAAGAACATATAAAGAATCGATTATAATAAGCAGGCAAGAGTCCACATTATAGACTGCCAGTACACGCACTCAGCTTCATAAGCAGGCTAGAGTGTACATGATAGAGTGGCAGTACGCTCACCGAGCTTAATAAGCAGGCTACAGTGTACATGATAGACTGGCAGTACGCTCACCCAGCTTAATGAGTATTTGTACAGTGAACATTAAAGTGATCGATTGTTGGCGCGTTGGGTTTAAAAGTAATATTAATAGCACACATTGTGGTGGGGGTGTAGTGAAGAGTAGGAAAAACTTTGATGAATTTACCTCAGAGTGGCGTGGTGGGTGTCGAGGCCTAGTAGCGTGCAAAGCCTGCGGCCTCGCCTAAAATTGTGGGCTTGGAAGAGGCAGGGTACGGGTGGCGTTCCTTCCCCCCCCCCCCTAGCGCTCCAACAATACTGTGTAATGGCTAATATTTAATTAAATACGGAGCTTATGAAAGTGGCGAAGGCGTGGCTAGCCGTTGGCAGGGGCAACCGCCGTCCAATGAAACTGCAGCCCTTGGCGAAGGCGTGGCTAGCCGTTGCCAGGTCCAATGAAAGCTGCGAAGGCGTGGCTAGCCGTTGCCAGGGGCAACCGCCGTCCAATGAAAGTGCAGTCCACACACACACACACAGACACACAGACATGAACGATTTTATATATATAGATAGCCTCACGGCCAGTATAACATATATATTTTTATTGGAGGGTCCAATTTGTAACGTTTGCCTATTTTCTTTGTTAATACTCTTTGGTTCTTTCGGTGAAGTCACGTAGATAGAAAAATAGCTAATAGATCACTAATAGTAGTGATCTATTAGTAGTGATCTATTAGAAAGACCCAAAGAGTATTCATTCCTGCAGTCACGAAAGCTTCAAAACAAGATTTATTTGTTAAATTTAGCTTTTTTTTTGCTAAACTTTACCCCAATTGTGCTACCTGCGCGTGACCTGAGACGAAGCATACATCTGGATCTCTCGCGGAGCAATGCAACCCTTTGTGTTAGAGAACGGCCCACAAAGTGGATATCAAAGAACCACTTGTGAGACGTCTCCAAATGACCTCTTGCCCACAAATTTCCAAACATGCCCTACCGCAGACGGCAATGTTTGTCGCATGACAAGCGACGATTTGAAATTCTGGTAATGTCGCCAAATTATACGAAGAACCATATTTAATATGACGGGGGCTTGAACAATTAAAGCATTCAAACGAGTAAGTCCTACGTTTCACGGCCTTGAATTATAATGTTCATGAAACTCTCAACTCAAACGACTGTTTTGTTGCAAACCATTCACTCGACTTTCGCTTGCTCCGACCTCACCTCTGGGGACCGGAGAAATGACGCCTCGTCTAATTGGGCGCACATTTGCTGGCATTTAAATATATCCTCACGCCGCTAATTACGTTACGAGATGAAGGCTCGCGCTGTGTGATGTTGGTGGGGGGGGGGGGGTCAAGCTTTGCCAGGTGTGGTGGCGACATCATCGTTCTCTTTGAATGTGCAACGAGTCGTCGCTGCAGAAAGAATTAAAAAAACACATCGTGGAGGCAGCAGCACGGAAATAAGAACCAGGGTATTTACGATTGGACCGAAAGAAGGAAATCAAGTAATCTTCTTGGTTCTTTCGGTAAAGTCACGTAGAAGGGAAATAATAAAATAATAAAAATTAAATATAATAAAATACAATTCTCACGACGTTTCGGTCACAACGCAAGCAGCCGTCCTCAGGTGAAGAACAGGTCTGTCGGAAAGTTATTCAGACGCTGTCTTTCCGACAGACCTGTTCTTCACCTGAGGACGGCTGCTTGAGTTGTGGCCGAAACGTCGTGAGAAATGTATTTTATTATGTTCTATTTTTATTATTTTATTATTTCCCTTCTACGTGACTTTACCGAAAGAACCAAGAAGATGAATCCCTGCAGTCACGAAAGCTTTAAATCGAAAGCAAGTTAGTAAAAGGAAGTGAGCTCAAGGCAGGTAAGACGACTGACAGTCACCAAATGCTTAGCGATGGAGCGTCAGCCGAGAAAAGGAACGCGTTCCAGCGGACGTCCACGCACGAGAAGGGGGCAATTAAAGCAGCTCGTGTCGAGCTGTTTGGCTGCATCGTCACATCGCAGAACCGCGATGGATGGCGACGACTTTGAGGAGGCTTTCACCCAGCAGAGGATGGAGCCTCGCTGACGAAGATGTCGATGATGACGACTTAACCGAGACGCCGACACACCTCGGGCTATGGAGGTGCTAAAAACGTAATATTGCTTATTTTTTTTCAACAATGACTTGGTTCGAGGATTTTGGACCGCAACCTTGTTGATCGCTCGGGATAGAAGTCAAGAAAGCGAGCGAGACGCGGAAAGGGGTGGGGGGGGGGGCACACGCGCGTGTCGGACAGTGTCCGTGGCGGTAGTGCAGCGGTTAGCGCGCTGCGCTATAAACCTGGCGACCCGGGTTCGATTCCCGCTCACGGCTAACACCAGTGACGATGATCTGAACCGGGTCCTGGGCCTCCCCTAGGTCGACTCAGCCTTAAATGAGTACCTGGTGCGGTGTGTAAACATTGTGCCACTAGGGAGACAAAGGCGGTCGGGCGTGGTGCTGGCCACCCGCCCCCTCGTGTGCCGTTCCGGCCTTCATAGGTGCTCGCTAACAGCACTTGCCCCTACAGTCTGTTAAGGCTACACGGGGGATCTTTGTCTTTATCTTTGTGGCGGTGGCGAGGGGACCTTGTTGAAGAGCGCGTGGAACACGCCCTGGTGGCTGCCCCAGTCGGTGTCGCCGTAGCGCGCCGACGCCTCCGCCTCGTCCCCGGCGCGGTGATCCTCAAACGCGTCGCACTGCACCAGCACGTCCTCGTCCGCATTGTCGCCGGTGCTGTCGGGGGGGGGGGGGGCACAAAGTGACGTGAGAGCGACCACCCGTGAAGGCCAACAACGTGGCGCATGCTATGGGAATGCGGCGCGGCCACCTTTGTCTCTCCACAGTCATCATGTTTACACACCGCACAAGATACTTTTTTAGGCCGAGTCGACCTAGGGGAGGCCCAGGACCTGTTCAGATAATCGTGACTGGTGTAGGCCCGTGAGCAGGAATCCAACTTGGGTCGCCGGGTTCGTAGCGCAGCGCGCTAACCGCTGCACTGCCGACGTTGTAATGCGTGCGTGCATTACAGGCATTAGCAGGTTCATTTATAATACTGTCTCTAAACACTTAAACATCACAAGCAGAGAGGGGCAGATTCGACTGTCATAAGTGAGTATTGTTTGGCGTGTTACGCTCACGAGCCGACCAGGCTTCACATATTCCCGTCCGAGGCTCCAACACCGACTTGAACAGCACAAAGGCCATTTAATGAGCATCGTAAAACCGAACCATCGTCAGCTTCCAAGCCAGGCTGGGCGATAGATCAACACGCATAATCAATAGGCGCTCATGTTCACAGCAGCCGCCTCGAGACTACAATTGTCGATATGGAGCGGGAGTGTTTGGCCCTATTGATGGAAATAACTCGCAAAGCTCTGCGTGTGGATGCTCTTGACTTACCGCAGCTTTTCCAGAACCTCCAGAAACTGCAGCCCTGCACACACAAGCAGCAGAAAGAGAGGGAGCAGCACTGTTAAACTCTCCAATTGCCAGCTCCATCTCCCAGAAGGAAAATCCAGGGCTGGCCAAAAACGAGTGCCGCGTCGTTGTTTTATGAGCAAAAAATGTGGGACAGCGATTGGGAAAATCAAATCAAAATCATTCGTGCACCCTTTTATCTGGCAACAAAACTGACACCTTTTTTACAGCTTTCCTGTCTCGAAAGCTGTCTCGGGTGTGGACCAATCAACTTCAAGGGCAGTGCATACATTATCAGAGTTATGTTTTTTGTTTGCATTACGACTGCAGGTATTGTGGTCTATGCAAACATGACTCCTTGTAAAAAATGTGTCAGTTTTGTTTCCAGATAAAAGGGTAAAAAAACAATTATCATATTTTTTTCTTCTGGCAAATGAGGTTCCAATGGTGTATTCGTGCACTTGTTATTCGCGCCATTCCTATAGCCATTCCATGCTATGACGAAGGCGCTAAGTTTCACAGACGGGTACAGTCCGCCAGCAGGGGCCAATGTTGCTGTGCGATTTTACCCAGTCAGGTAACCTGAAGACGGTCACTTGTGTTGCGATCAAAACGTCGTGATCAATTATTTTTTCTACCTACGTGACTTTACCGAAAGAACCAAAGAATATGGGTCATATTTCGATTTAAAGCTTTCGTGACTGCAGGGATTCATCTTCTTGGTTCTTTCGGTAAAGTCACGTAAAATGGAAATAATAAAATAATACAAATAAAACATAATAAAATAATTCTCACGACGTTTCGGCCACAACGCAAGCAGCCGTCCTCAGGTGGAGAATAGGTCTGTCGAGAAGGCAGAGAAGGCAGAGTCAGACGCTGTCTTTCCGACAGACCTGTTCTCCACCTGAGGACGGCTGCTTGCGTTGTGGCCGAAACGTCGTGAGAATTATTTTTTTATGTTTTATTTTTATTATTTTATTATTTCCATTCTACGTGACTTTACCGAAAGAACCAAGAAGGAGCATGGGTCATTTTAAAATTTGGCGAATTTGGACCGCGACGCCGGCATGCACGCGTGGCTTAGAAAGCGTGCGACCGTGGTGATCTGGAGCGGCGCGCGCTCACCGATGAACTCGTTGCGCAGCAGCATGCGCGCCTGCAGGGAGCTGGCGCCGATGATGAGGGCGTTGATGACCCCCAGCAGCGTGGCCTGATAGGCGGGCATCTCCGTGGCCTTGAGCTCATTCAGGATGAGGCTGAAACGGTAGTGCTGGCTCTTCACCACCTGGGCACAGAACAACATCATCATCATCCATCAGCATCGTCACCACCACCACCATCACGTGTGTTTTATTGCAGCAAAACACGAGTACACTACGCCAATGGACTTCAGGAGGGGAAGAGACAATCTGCAAAAAATCTAATTCGGTCGGTGTGACGAGACCGCACATCGGGGGGGGGGGGGGGTGAATAGAGGGCCCACTGGCCCAGCCACCATCATGTTACTTAAAAGTCAAGAGACAGATCTGAATTGGCTTGCGCATGCCTCCACGAGATCCAGGGTCTCCACGAGAGAGCCTTTCTCGTTGGCGTTTGAACTTAATCTCCTCCACTGACCAGACATCTTGGAAGCATATCATCGCATTATTGTTTTTCATATCGTGCTTCGAACTGTTAAAGCAATGCCCGAAACAGTGTGTGACCGACAAACACCAAGAGAGGGAGGGTGGCGCAGCGTTTAGCGCACTGCGCTTTTAACCAGGCGACATAAGTTTGATACCTGGCCACAGGCTAACATCGGTGGTGAGTGATATGTGGCAATCCCACTGACCAGCGCGGTGAAGTATGATCACACAACCTCCCCCGATCGACGCCTCTCACAGGGTGGGTATTAAAATGGCTGTAAATTAAATAAATTATAATTATGAAAAAAACTTATAATGCGCATTCCATCCTAGGATCGCAACGCGCAAAAATGTTGATTAAACGCTCACAACCAGAGGAGCGTCGGGCGGCTAAAACACAGCAACCTGGCACAGTAGGGAGGACATGCGGTGGTGTGCATCCGCTAGCCAGTCAACCAGTACCTCCGAGAAGCACGGGTGGCTACGTACGGTGCGAAAGAAGTTCAACCTACATACATATATACAACCTGTGGCACATGGATCCGCTCCTCGACTTCCTGCCAATCGGGCCTTCAATATTTCACGTAGCCTGGCACAAGCACCGTGGTAATGTCACTGTCACTCAGTAGCGAATGGCAGGTGTTGTTGTCGTTGTTGTCCTGTGTGTGTGTGCCGCGCGTTGCCTTGTAGTGCTGCAGGGCGTCGATGGCGAGCTTGTGCCCCTCGGAGGAGTAAACACACAGCGCGGAGAGCAGCTCCATCACCTGGCGCTTCACCAGCTCGCTGCCCGTGTCCATCGCTGCACCGCCCGGACACAGCGACAGTCGCGGGTGAGCATCGTCCCCCCGCCACCACGGCGAGTACTGCGAGCGAGCGGCCTCGCCACGCCGGCCGGCACCCTGCAGGTACGGCCAGCCGCCTTTGTCCATTCAGCAGGTAGGAGCGGAGGGGGCAGTGATTGACGCGCGGAACTAAGCGGCCCGAGTTTGATTCCCGGCCACGGTTAATTCGTCAGCGGTGAACTATCTCTGAAGAGGTTCTTGCTCCCTCCCACAACCCCCTTCACCCAGCCTTCGCCAACCCACACCGACTAACGTGGTGAAGTAGTGACAAACAAACCCTACAACTGATACAAGGCGGAGAGGCCTTCGCCACGACACTGGGCTGACAAACAAGTTGTAGATGACATTAACCCATGGGGAAAACCCAGGGAAACGTCTAGACACTACATCGTGTTATTTACGATCAGGGTTCGAACCCGGGTTGGCAGAGATCATAGCGCAGCGCACCAACCACTGTGCCTCCGCTCAGCCCCAAGCAAACGCTCCACGCTGATGATTGTACACCACACCAGGTACTCGTTTAGAACTCAGTCGCAGCGTGGAGATATGTGGCGAAACAACGACCTGGCACGCCACAGCCCCCCCCCACCCTCCCGTCCAAAGCAATGGATGTGCCCATCACAAACCTTCTACGATAAAGGGCAACACGTCCGTCGACGTTCGCTTCGCCACGTGTGCTCGAGCACCACCGCCGAGTTAGGGTCCCCAAACAATTTGTGTGGCCTCCCCTCCTGCAGAAGTGGCAGCCGATATACGTGGATCGCAATCAACGGGCGGATGGTCGCAAAACAAATTTTTTTTGGACCTTTGGCCAAATCAGAGCAAACACCAAACATAAGCGTACGGCAATTTTCATTGCATGTGACGGCAAATAAAAACCCCAACTGAGCATTCATTTGTAAAACATACAGAGTGGACCGTGGAACCCATTGAGATTCGCTAATATTGATCGCAGAGCTTGGTGGCATAGCCACCGCTGTTCTCCAGGCTAAAGAGGAGCCTGGCCTACTGGGATGTTGTTGTAGCATTGAGAAGCTGCCTACATCATCGACCAGACACCCACCGCTATCGCCGCCGGTGCTGGCGGCAACGGCGACAGCATGTACATACGTGGAGCTTTTTTCGCTGACGGTGCTAATCGGAGGTGCAGGGGAAGGACAACAAACTAAATACAAAAATCACTTCTCTAGAAATGAGTTGTCAATCTAGATGATGATTTAAAAAGTGCAAAGCCCCCAGTGTCTTCCTAATATCGGAAGCAAGATCGTTCCAGACGGCCGCAGAAGCGCATCCGAAAGCGCGCGGACAAGGCGACCACCGTCCTTGCCCGACGACCAGCCAACATCCTCAGCCGCGAGAGATCGCCCGGAGGCTCCGCACGCCGATGGCCTTACGCTCCTCGCCGAGCTCGTGCGGCACCTCACCCTGCACGAGCGTGCGCACGCGCTCCCCTCCGCACACCAGGTAGTCGAGCCCCCGGCGCGAGTTGAGCACGGCGCGCACGCAGCCCACGCACTCGAGCTGCGCGCACACGTCGGTGAGACGCAGCGCCCGCCCGCGGCGCGAGAACCTCTCCAGGGCCTCGAGCAGCAGGTCCAGCCCGCGCAGCTCCAGGAAGGCGGTGACCCAGGCGCCGTCGCACTCGGCCAGGCGGTGCCGCAGCCCCGCGTAGTTGCGCGAGCTGGGGAATTGCAGCAGGCGCACGCACAGCTCCGGGTCGGCGCTCTCCATGTTGCAGGCGCCCGAGGCCGGGCAGGAGGACTCGGGGCCGCCATCGTCGAGCGAGATGACGCGAGCCAGGCGAGCCCACATGGCGGGATGAGTGAACCTGCGCGCGGTGCCCCCGCCACGGGGTGTCGGGGGAAGAGAAGACGCGATATCGGTGTGAGAGGAGGAAGCGGTCGTGAGCCGTTTCGCTTTTATTCGTAATGATGATGACGACAATAATGATGATTATTCAACCAGGAAAGCCTCACTGGCCAAGATGTATGCAGGTTGAACTTCTCTCGCACTGCACGCAGTGGTGGTGCAATGCTAGCTGGAGTTCCAAATGAAAATGACTTCGTCTCATGTGAAGATGACGTTATAACACAATTGGAAATAGTGGGAAGAGAAAAACAAATTAAGGAGAAATAAAATGACAATTAAAATAAACTACATTTTTTAATCACGTATCATAAGCCTTGCATGACTTGTTTCTGTATTTCAAAAGAACGCCGATTAGACATTCCACGAGTTCACGTTCACTTGAATGAGTAACATCTACTGTAAGCTTATATCAGCAAGCACAAGACAGATGTCATAAAGGTTTCTGCGGTCCCTAAATGTGGGACGTTGATGCGAACTTTATGCAATTGGTTGTAATAGTGGCCCGTATAGACATGTAACCGCAAAAAATGTGCCGATGGGCTCCTCCGTACTCACGATTGTTATGTTTTACAATCATTTACCGTCGCTCCTGGCATTAAATACATCACGGTACAGTGGGTTTAAAACAGTACAGCGAAAAAAATGGACAACGTCTTGCAAACAAAAACACAGGGGGTGACTTCGGTGCCGCTTACTTTATAAACATTGTCAAAGGGAAGATAAACAACGCTCCTACCGCCCTGTGATTCTGCACAATGGATATTGTGAACGTTATACACGGTGATAAAGAAGATCAACGTACATACAGACATACATAATGTCCGTTACCGAAAACCATTTCTTAAAAGCCGCAAGTTCAGAAGCGTGATGCCAATAACATTTGATGTGACTTGAACTAAAACCACAAAAACTCATGCGGTTAGGACTTTCCCCACATAACGCCAGGCAAGACACGCATTGCTTTAACCAACAGAGCTCCTTGTCGACAATCATAATAAGCTAAACACACATTTACAAGTTACAGCAAAAGTCATCGACTTCACCTCTTTAACGGCGGCGGTGGTGTCGGTGGCGGTGGTCCCGCGAGAAGGGCTCCGTGCCGCTGGTGAAAAATACTCGAGCGGAGTGAACCAGCGGTTGTGATGTTCCAATTGGGGAGCGAGGAAAATACCCAAATGGCAATAATGAGGACACGCACACCCCTAAGTCCCACAAACTCGGTGCTTGTACAACGGATGAAAAAAACTAAAAAAACACGCACGAATGTGCAGTCACGCCCCACACTTCCTAACAGCCGAGGCTATCTCTGCAAAACACGCAGGGGCAGGACGGGAAGAAGCCCCTGCAAATACTTTGAGGCTCTTTTTGGAATTCGACGAATGTCAATGGTCCCCCCCTTTCTGAAGGCACTCGATGAGGGCGGAACTTGCCGGCGTTGTTTTCACGTTGTGACGAGTGTTGTTTGAAGTGATGCCCGACGTTTTGCTGCTACCGGCTGGGAGCTGCTTTTTATTCCTCTTCTTCGGGAACTGAAAAAGCTTCACTTCAACTAAAGGAAGCTTCACTTCAGCTCCTGAAGAGGCTCCCAGCACGTCGAACCACACACGGTACCCACCCGAAAACACGCCCGGGGAATCTGTACTGCTCCACAACCGCAAATACTGGGTGGAACTCTTCAGTGGGTGTGTAAATTTGCACAATTTTTTTTCTGTCCAAACAGACACTGGAGGTGAATAAAAGAAAATAATCCGATTCACGGAATAAAAAGAAGCGCTGTTTGAGTTGTAGCAGCAGTGAACCTCTTTGTGGCTTAAAGGGCAGCGTGCTTGATTTTAGAGTCCAGTAAGTCTGCCAGTACGAGGCGGGGAGACCTGGGAAACGTAGCGTGACGCTAGATAATGGACTTCATTCAGAGCGGGCTTTCGGACTTGGCATCACACCTTATCCCGGTGACACTCTCCACGCACTGGAATAACCGGGGGCTCATCGAGCACAGTGACTCTCAAAATAAAATGTTTTTAGATATTAGGTTCTCAGATATTGTACGTAAATACAGTCAGGCACAATTTGTGACGCTGTATTGCATCGTGTGTATTAAATTGTGGTGGCAAAGTGGTTAGGGCACTATGGATGCGATGGACTTGGTGGTAATGCAAAACATCTAAATATTTGGATTCGTGTAACAAATATATAACTATAGCAATAGGGCTACACTTGCTTTCCAAAATTTCCAGAGGTACTTTCCTAATTACATGCAACGCATTCATTCTTTCCATTTGTAGGGCTGTTATCGAGGGGCTGTTTGTACATAGGATCAAACGGCGAACAAACACAGTGGGCGGAGCTCCGGGAGTACACGGGGGGGGGTGCCCGCAACGACGTCCGCATAGGGCTGCCCGGGGGGTTGTGATCCTGTGGGGGGATATAAAAGGGGATGACAGAGAGAGCTCGGGGCTCAGTGTTGGAACGAAGAAGGGAAGACTGAAGACCCGGGTAGCTAGAGCCCTGGACTCCTCTGAGACGCCGCCCTTGTCAGGGCCGCGCAGGACCGAGCCAGCGGCGTGGTCCCGTGAACCAGAGTCAGCACTCTGGGACTCCGGGTACCGTAGCCCGACTCACCAGTGTCGGGCCAGATAGCCTCCCCTAGCCCGTTAGTGGAGGACTCGGGGGTAGGTCAGGGATAGCTAGAGGTGTATCCCCAGTTATACGGGTGAGGGGGCCGATACCCCCTCCAGTGCTGTCCTGTCGTAACGACTTGTAAAATAAATACACGTGTGCCTCAACCTCGGTGTCAAGCGTCGTCAGCGGTACTTCATCTGGTGTCAGAAGTACTGCGAACATGGACACGCGCCATACAGCTCGGGCCAGAGTACCGCAGGAGGAGGACACGGCGGAGATCGTCGAGCCCGAAACGGATCAACAAGACGTGGTGCAGCCGGGGCCTGACGCCTTCTTACCGGGGCATCGGCATGAAGAGGGGCCGCAGCCAGACGCGCTACGGCTAGCTCACGAAAGGCTGGCGGAGCTGCTGTATGCCGCTGCCGCCACGCTGGAGAACATCACGCGTTTGGGGGCTGGTGGTCCACCACGGGGCGAGGGGAGCCGGCGACCGGAGCGCCTTCCCGCCATTTCTGAAAATTCTAACTTTGAATTTCCCGCCATGGACGCCGCAGCTGCTCAGGGCGTGGCCAGCTTGAACATCGGCTCCGACATCGCCGTCGCTGGAGCTGCAGCGTCATCACCGCCGGAGGGTGCGTCATCGCTGCTGCGACAGGCGATGCCATCGGCCGTTCGCGCCGATGCACAGCCGAGTGGTGGTGACAACAACCTGCGGGAGTCTACATCAACCGCTGCGCTTCATCAGAGACTGCCCCCGCTGAAGGAGTTCATCGGCGCGGAGGGAGACTGGGGCGGCTTTCGGCGACGCTTCCTCGCCCATCAGGAGATGGCGAGATGGTCCGCTGAGGAGGCTCTCTGCGCGCTGCCGGCGCTCCTCGACGGCGACGCGTTCGCCGCACTCACATCGGCGCCGAGGGAGAAGCGTACTACGCTACCGATGGCGCTACAGCTGCTGGCCGGGGTCTATGGACCTTCAGCTGAATGCCGTCAGCAGTTTTACGATCGCAAGCGGGGTGAGAAGGAGTCGCCCCTGGCATTCCGGACAAGTCTCCTGGCGCTGGCGAAGACGGCCTTTCCTCGTATGGACGACGACGGCGTGGACGCGATGGTCATGGAGAAGATCCTCCTCCTGGCAGACGACCTCGACATCGTTGTCATCGCACAGGAGGACGCAGAGATGACTTCTCTCCAGGCTGCGCGGCTCCTCCACGCCAACCTTCTGTCACTGCGGCGGAAAGCCAGCAGGGCATTGGCTGGGCGTGCGGTGGCTGCAGCCACCCTTCCAACGGAAGAGCTCTACGCCGTCGACCATCGACGGCAACAGGCGACAGGAGCACGGTCGGGCCGGGACGGGTCGAGCCGCTTCGACCGTCCATCATCTCCGTCGGCGCTCCCGCGCTGTTTCAACTGCGGCGTCCGGGGCCATGTCGCCTCGGGGTGCCGCTCTCCTCGACAGCGCGGGACGACGCCCCGACGGGACGCTGGCCCTCCTCCTCCTCCTCCTCCCAAGCTCCAACAACATGATCCGGCGAGTCGCGGCACCACACATGTTTGGCCAAAGCACCCACCTGTCGCACACTCTCGCACCGTAACGAACGGGGGGCCGGTGGGGCGCTGCGACGGGCCGGCACGGATTGCTGCGGGGACTCAAATCGAGCCCAAGCAGTGGTCCGTGTTAGCCCATCGCGTGGTGGCCGCGGCGTCGGGGTCGTCGGCCGTGGTCGGTCACATCGATGGGGTAGAGGTACGCATCATAGTCGATACGGGGGCATCGGCGACAATCATTTCGGAGCTAATTTACAATATTTTACCTGTACAGAGCCGTCCTTTGCTGCCGGTTAACGTTCCATTCTATGCCGCTAACGGGGGCTCTCTCGGCATCATGGGACAGATTCGAGCGCAAATTTCTATCGGGGACATCAAATTGTCGGGGCCGATTTTTGTTTCCTCCTCGCTGGCAGTTCCGTGCCTGCTGGGGACGGACTTCTTAGGCAGAATGCCAATTCGTATTTTGATCGACCAAGGATGCATTGAGCTTCCGTCGGGGCGACGCATGGCGTTCCTGCCTTCCCCTGTTGCGACTCGGACGGCGTTCGCGACAGTACCGGCGTTCGTCGTTAAAACAGTGCGTGTGCCGCCGGGAGCTCAAATGTTAGTACCTCTGAAACTTCGTAGGCCCTTCGCTAAGGGCGTTGGGGACCAGGGTGTTGTGCTGGGACCGTCTAGGGCCGGGGTTAATGGCCCTCATTTAATTCCGGCCCAGACCGTTGTAAGAGGGGACGGGGACCCTTTCATCGCGGTCCTCAATGTAGGGTCGCAGACAGTAGTGGTTCCTCAAGGGACAGTGCTCGCTCACGCGACGCCGGTGCCCTGCGAGGAACCTGTCGCGAACCACGTTGACACTGCTTCCCGGACGCACCCGCATTCGGACGGCGATGAAGGGTGGCTCGACGCGCTTTGTGCGGGATCGACGGACCTGTCAAATTCAGAGCGCCAACAGCTTAGATCGCTGCTGAAGGAATTTTCCGACGTTTTCAGTCGGAATAAATACGATTTGGGTTGTACTCACCTGCTGCGTCACCATATTGACACGGGTGACAGCGCGCCTATTCGCCAAAATCCGTTTCGGTTGAGTCCCGCCGAAAAGGACCATGTCAAATCGGCTGTCGATGACATGTTAGCCGCCGACATCATTTCTCCCTCTACCAGCCCTTGGGGAGCGCCGATTGTCCTGGTTAAAAAGCAGGATGGCTCGTTGCGGTTTTGCGTGGATTTCCGGCGCCTTAATAAGATTTCGGTTGCCGACGCATACCCGCTCCCACGGATGGACGAATCGCTGGACGCCTTGGCGGGAGCGCGATTCTTCTCCACACTAGATTTACTTTCGGGATTCTGGCAGCTTCCTCTGGACAATGACTCAAAGCCTAAAACTGCTTTCCGTACACCGCACGGCCTGTTCCAATTCAACCGGTTGCCGATGGGCTTACACTCAGCGCCGGCAACTTTCCAGCGGTTGATGGAATTGGTTTTGGCTGGATTGCAATGGGAGTCGTGCCTGATTTATTTGGATGACGTTATTGTCTTTGGAAAAACTTTTGACGAACATCTCCAGAGGTTGCGGGCGGTTTTCCAAAAGATGCGGGCTGCTAATTTGAAATTTAAGCCCCAAAAATGCCATTTGTTACGCGAGTCGGTGCGTTATTTGGGGCACATCGTGGGGCGCTCAGGTATTGCTACCGATCCCGCCAAAACGCAGTGTGTCAGCTCCTGGCCGACTCCAACCTCGGTGGGGGAGGTGAGGAGTTTTATTGGCTTCGCGTCGTATTACCGACGCTTCGTCGCTAATTTTGCGACAATTGCCAAACCCCTACACGCTTTAACATCTAAAGGGGTTCGGTTCCACTGGGGTCGGGATGAGGAAGTTGCTTTCTGCTCCCTTCGGGGCGCCTTGGTGAAAGCTCCTCCCTTGATTTACCCAGATTTTTCGAGGCCGTTTTTGCTCGACACCGACGCGAGCAACACGGGGATTGGAGGCGTGCTTTCCCAGGTGGTTGACGGCGTGGAACGGGTGGTTGCGTACGGCAGTCGGGTGTTGTCTCCAGCGGAGCAAAGATATTGTGTCACCCGTAGGGAACTGTTGGCAATTGTCTATTTCATCCAACAGTATCGCCCATATCTGTACGGTCAGCATTTCACCGTCCGTACAGATCATGCGGCACTGCAGTATGCCCTGAAGGTTCAACAGCCATCGGGACAATTGTCCCGATGGTTGGAGGTCCTCCAGGATTTCGATTTCGAAACCACCTACCGTAAGGGCGTTCGCCACACCAACGCGGACGCTCTGTCGCGCATGCCAACCGCCTCCGAATGTGCATGCCTCCTGGGGTCGGGGCGTTGCAGGCCAGCAGGGGACATGCCGGTTCCAGTCCTGGCGGCCGCCGCCGATGCTGAAACATTGCTCCCCGATGATATCGCGGAACAGGGAAGAGAT